AAGTGCACACACACAGCAGTGAACACACACACATTGTGAAAACACACCCGGAGCAGTGGGCAGCCATTTTTATGCTGCAGCGCCCGGGGAGCAGTTGGGGGTTCGGTGCCTTGCTCAAGGGCACCTCAGCCGTGGTACTGAAGGTGGGAGAGAGCACTGTACATTCACTCCCCCCACCTACAAGCCCTGCCGGTACGAGACTCGAACCCGCAGCCTTGGGTTACGAGTCCAACTCGCTAACCATTAGGCCACGACTTCCCCTGGTCTTAATGGTCTTATAGGAATACATTTGTTTATATTTACCATATTTTCTATGCTTTAATTGTTCTACGCGTGTGCATCATGGATGTGCAACAGTTTAGAAAAGTGCCTGGAAGATCAGTATGCTAAACAGGAATCTGAGTATACATTCCTGCGTCTCCTGGACTGATATCATCACGTCAAATATAAACAGAAGCATGTTCTCACACACACTGCTAGCTGTTTTGCAAATAAACCATTCCAGTGAATGCAGTGACCTTCCGTGAGATGAGCGGTTTTCCATGACATTCTAATTTATTGAGATGCACCTGTATATCCGTCTTTCAAGTCAAGAGGCCAAAATAGATTAAATAAATGTACAGAAAAGTAAGAAATAAATCTCTATTGTCTTACGTGAGGTCAAACTTCCTGTCAGCACAAGTCATTTGATGCATGGAACCCCTTACTAAAACGGTACTATGATGGTAAAACCATGGTACTTTTATTACATGCCATGATTATTATATTCAAATACCATGGTATTTATGTATTACCAAGTTAAAATAATATAATTATCAAGGCATCATGTAAAACAACAACAACATAATGCTAACAGTTATTATAAATATTATTATTATATAGATGTATAAAATGTGTATATAAATAATACAAATATATACATACAGTATATAAAATAAAATTAATAATAATAATCATTATTATTATTATTGGAAATAATTAACTAAATTAATAATTATATTAATGGTTAAAAATTATAATATAGAAATAATCACTTTTTTTATTCTGCTTGGCCATGATGCAGAAAAAAAATATTAAACTGTAGTAGACAGTAGACTGGACACAAGCCAAACTGTTAAGGTTCATAATATGTCCCCTTACTTTGTCAAATTGTCCTTACACCCTGCTTTTTGGTACTTCATTGAGTTACTTGAGGATAATTAGTTCATGAAAATCACATCTGTCAGGAATTCAAGACAAGACAGCTGAAATTCTGGCACATAAATAGATGAAACACGTCTTAATGCTTAAATACTCTGAGAGCTAAACTACTTCATTTTTATTTTGATAATTTTTTCATGAATTATTTATGGTCTCAGCTAGGTCAGAGAGTTGCAAAGAGTCACATTTCCCAGAACACCCATGTATCTTCTTGCTTCGTGTGTGTGCACACATGTGCGTTTGTCCTTCAGTAACCTGCCGTAACTGGCAAGGAGACATTTCTCTAAATGGTCGTGCAGAAGGAGAGGACATGTGTGGGGTTAGGGACACGGGGATAGGGCTCGCCAGACCAGACTCCAGGATCCCTAGAGGACCTGCATTCCTGCCTCTCTGCTTGGCATTTCTAGGTCACTTTGGATGCAGAAACAGTCCGATGCCAGTGGGAAAGACATCTATATAAAGCCTGTACACCTCATCTGCACTACACCAGAGCACAGGACATGAGCATGACAGCCACATGTATTAAAAGTTTAATGATACTTGCCAAGCAGGACACATTGTGGCAGAAGTGTGTGTGTGTGTGTGAAGTGGTGGGGGGACAACTTGGATGAAATATTACTCCTTTCATCTTTTGTATAAAAATTACATTTGAGCATTCACTTTCATAATCAGATCATGACTTTTGGTATGTTGCCAAGGGCTTGTGCAAACCCTCTAAAAGCGCTCCACACGTGACAGTGCTGCCTGTGCATACATGCACGACAGGGAGAACCGAAATGTAATCAATTTAAAAGCTATAACTACTTTTCAAATTCTGATGATTGCTTAAATGTAATAACATCTTGCTGTGTTATTGAATCTCGTTCTTGCTTGTGCTATATGGGCAAATAATTATACTGAGACGGCACATCATCTCCCCCCACGACCCCCCTAAAACCATGAACTCAATCAATTATTGTACATTATTTCATGCACTCCATTACCGAGCTGCTAGACTCATTCACGGCTTTTCACAATACTCTCAGAAAAAAACCTTCAAAAACTTCAAAAACAAAACAAAAAAAAAACACTGTATACATGCTACCATTCAAAAGTTTGGGGTCTTAAGATTTTGTAAGGGTTTTGAAAGAAGTTGAATCTTATGCTCAGCATTATTTGATCAAAAATTCAGTAAAAACAATGAAATTCAGTAAAATAGTTACAAACTGCATTTTTTATAAATAATAAATTAATAACAAATATATTAAAAAAATATTTATCAATACTATAATTAAATATATAAAATATAAAGATAACATATGTGGCTTCTAAAAAATGAGCTCAACACAAATCTGTTCACAAATAGATATTTTTGGAATGATATTTGACATAAACTACACATAATTTGTCCTTGCCTGGTTAACAGGAGGTGATAGCAGGTGTCCAGCGAGGGCCAGTTTAACAGTGGTCTCCCAGATATACTTGCCCGCGCTGTCTCTGGCCGTCACCATGAACTGGATGGGTTCAGTTAGATTCGTCACATGTTGCTCTGCATAAAGAGAGCCATCCGGCCGAACGCTGAACTTTGGGTCACTGCTTTCGAAAGAAACCTCTTCTATTTGTTGACAGGTTTCGAACTTCACTGCAAGAAAAGAGAGAAAGAGAGATTAGAGGGTAAGAAAAAGTAAGTTATTTTTAAAAAATTAAATAAAAACAATGGAACTCTCATTGCTGCCAGACGCAAAAACTGTTCAAAGCGATCTTATTTTTGGCCAACATGTTTCATTGCTCTTGCCCACACATTTGTCATTGTCTATCTCCCCTACTATGCTAGACTGCTTATTAAATAAAACATCATCGTTATAGACAGTATGAATGTAATGTAGTTATTACATTTAAGGTGGACAAGGCGTTATTGATTCAATACTTCATTCAGCCACATACAGACCAATAGACAAATAAATGAAATCAATTATATATGTAATAAATGATGGGCTATGGCTAAATTCAATAGCATAAGCAATGTACTGAACAAAAGATATAATTTATCGATAATGTTTATAGTACCGTATATACAAAAAAGGATTCTCTTAATAACAGACTCTTCTGACAGAAGAAGTGTGAAAAATTCAGTTTCTCTTAAAACAAGTGAAGATAGCAAACAGAATGAGTGAGTCATATGCTTTCTCCCGCTATGGTTGCTTGGAAAGGGTGCTGGTCAACAATAGCAGATGGTCCGTTCAGTTACACCTGAGGGAAAGTTCCACAGCTTCAGCTCTACTTAAAGTGAGCGAGCGAGCAAGTGAGAGAGAGAGCCATGTGCCATGTCTAGATTAATCACAGTTTAAAAATTAGAGCTCTATTTCACATTTACCAGAAGTTCAGTCGTAGAACTTTAGTAGACCACTTCTGCTCTTAGTATATGGGAGTCAGGGACTAGTTTTCACAAATAGTACATATTTCTCAGGTTGAAGTAATAGTTCACCCGAAAATGTGGTGAAATTTGGTGGAAATGTTCTCACCCTCAGGCAAGCCAAGATGTAGATGTATCTTCATTGGAGCAGATTTGGAGAAATTTAGCATTACATCACTTGCACATCACAATGGATCCTCTGGAGTGAATGGGTGCCGTCAGAATGACAGTCAAAACTGCTGATGAAAACATCACAATAATCCACACAACTCCAGTCCATAAATTAACGTCTTGTGAAAACTGAAAAGCTGTGTGTTTGTTATTTGTGGATTATTGTGATGTTTTTATCAGCTGTTTCATTGTGACGGCACCCATTCACTGCAGAGGATCGATTGGTGAGCAAGTGATGTGATGCTAAATTTCTACATCTTGGATGGCCTGAGGTTGAGTAAATTTTAAGCAAATATTTTTTTTTTTGATGAACTATTCATTTAAATTCATTTTTGAAAATCAATTTCTGTAAAGACACATAAATGACAGCTTTTTTTTTCTATAAATGTTCACTGATCATTTGCACTTTTATTGCTTAGGGGGGAAAAAATCACACGAACACACATTGACAATAGTGGGGTATGTTGTAACGATGTAACCTGCCATTACATTTACATTTATTCATTTGTCAGATTGACGATTGCTTTGTCCTGCTAATATTGCATTTCAAATTTCATATAAAGTTATAAACATCATTTAAAACATATGTGACCCAACATGGTTTTGACTAATGCATTTTAAACCAAAACCACTATAGCACACTTTTTTTTTTTATTAAAAAAATTAATAAATAAATAACCCCTGTGACAACTAGCCCCAGTCTCATCTATGCATTAGTGACACTTCAACTGCATATTGTTCTGACAGTGTTCAGTCTTTGCAGACTTCCAGTACTAGAGGGTCAAAGCGTGCCAAATAGATTTGAGTGCCGCTTCTCTCATCTCTTTCTTCCCTCAGGATTGAAAAGAAAGAAAGATGGAACTAAAATCACTTCCTACTGATTTTATCTCTCTTCCACAATCCCACTGATAACAAGACAAATTGATTTCATAAATCACCGTGGGACCAAGTCACTGGGCGAAAATGTTAAAAAATATAAATAAAAATCTGCCATGAAATATCTTGCACGACAAGCTTTTTATCAAGCCATCTATCCAATTTACCACACGGCTTCCTGCCAGAAGATGCACCAAAACAACAGGCTAATAAAGCGTAGAATCCATTTCACCAATTGCAGCACGGCTTGCCCAACGCTCCAGAGTTTCGTCTGGTGAATAATTGCAAATGGGAGGGGAAGAGGCCAATATGCAGTTTTCAGAATGAGCACCAAATCACTGACACACGAAAGCATGCTGCCTACTTTAACAAGCTCTGCTCAAAACGGAAAAACAAAGTGCATTGTACTGGGAGAATAATAACATTTTACTCTGTCAGTTCTCCTGAAAATGTCTAGAAGATTTAAATCAAGAATCAGAGTGATTTTGCTATTTGGCAACCGCCACGAATGGTCTGAATACACTAATTGCAGCCTGTTGTTGATGGGAAAATTGTTAATTTAATTTTTTTCTCCTTCCTTACTAAGCATCAACAAAAACATCTGCCAGCAGGAAAGATAAAAAAACACACTCATGATAAAAAAAGAGAGATGGATGTTTCTGTGAAGCAACAACGGCAGTCAATGTTTTTGTAAATTAGGCTAATTTGCTTTAATGGAATGAGCTAATTATTGTCATTGAAGGCTTTTTGTCACTCCACAACTGACATGCAGAGGGTAAACCTGCGGATCAAGGGACAGAGGCTAAACCTGGAGTGTTTGCATAAGAAAAACACTGGATTCACAGGAGTTGCCCTGCATGATATTGTTTCATTATGGGATGGGATGTTGGCATGGGAACGCAAGAATGGTCAGCCTCAAAGTGTGTTGTTCAAAAACAACAAGCCCAAAGAAGATGCCAAACCAGAATTCCCTCTTACTCTCTCTGTCTTGCTCTCTTAACGAAAGACAGGGTTGTACAGACATGTGCCCACGAGTCTCAGTTTCAGATGAAAAGTCCAGTTATTGATCTCCTCATACATGCTAAACATAAAAAACCGACTAGCATTATTCAACAATCTAACTGATTGACTATGCACCAATCTGCCCCGAGTTTTGTTTGATGAACTTCCTGTTTACACTTGGCATATGATGACCAGCATCTGACCATCAGTTAAACACAGTGCACCTACTGTAAATTTTGTCCACATCAATAGGATTTATATAATATAAGGCAACTGGGGACTGAGCGTTTCAGGTGTATTTTGTAAAGCTTGTTGAGAGAAGAATGTCAATAATAATAATAGGAATGGTTTGTCGGACACGACATGTGAACGCAGATACGACAACTAGATTACAAATTTGTTTACACTAGTCTTTTTAATGTGCCTTTTGAGAGCATGCAGAGAAGCAAGCGTTAATAATGAATGATTCAATGACTCGAATTAAAAACGAATTTTGTTCCTGAATGAATCAGCTATTTTGAAAAATCCTCACTATTAACACAGACTGATAGCCTGTTCATATTTGCAAGTTTGCAAATCCAATAAACAAGACCTTTTAGTAGGAGGTTCTTGGAATAGCAATTCAAAACAAGCTGAAATGTGGCCATGTGAAGTACAAAAATCCAGTACGATATTTAATTACAACTTCTCATTCTAGTCAGAAGCTTTAACTGCAGCACACATAAATACAAACAACAAGAAAAATCAATAATCGATTGAAGTTTCTGCAGAAGGCAGCTTTATTGAAACTGCAATTCAGATTCTGGAATGTCAAGATCTAATGTGTAAGAAGATATGTGGGAGAGATATTGACCAAGAAGCAAGAATGAGAGTAAGAAAAACTAAATGATCGTGTCTGTAAGAGTGTGTATGAGTGTATGCCGATGAGTATGTGGCTAGATGGATATATGGATAGATATATATATAGATAGATAGATAGACAGACAGACAGACAGACAGAATGCTAGACAGAATGAGGAATGCACAGAGAAAAGAAGAAAAAATATAGCCAAGAGCAGCTCTATGATGGTGGGGATTGAGTGGCTGTGAGGTGTGTCCTCTCTCCACGTTCAGGCCTACAGTACAGGTTAAGACAGTTCAGGAGAGCTGCAGCGTTTGATGTTCTCCACAGGCTCCCCTGAAGGTCATTCAGCCCTGCGCTCACAAACAGAACAACATCACAAACTCAGGAGCTTTACAACAAGCTCTTTGTCTTACTGGGTGGTGTGTGGACACAGAGAGGTGTGCAGGGGTCATCTGGAGCTGAAGATGAAACCTTCTCATGAATCAGCTGTAAGTGGAAAAACAACTCCTTCAATATGGATAGGATTTTGAGGGACGAGAGCATAAAAGCTGGAGATTTGTGGTTTTTACTAGATGTCTGTAAGCATTAGGTTAATCTATATGCCAGTGTACACCTAAACCTTGCCTTGCAAATTCGCTGTTAACATACACACTCATTTAAAATTTACTTTCGCTTCCGGGGGGAAATTAATCAAAAATATTGCTAGCGCAACTTGTACTACACACATTTTTTTTTGTCTAATAAAATGCTCTTTGGAATAAGATCCCCAACTAAATTAGAAACACCACCATCCTCCACCTAGTGTTTTAGCAGATTTATCTTTATAAATTTATCAAATAAATGCAGCCTTGGTTATTATAAGAGACTTCTTTCAAAAACTTTGAAAAAGATGTTTAAATAGTAGCGCAACTTCAGTGTCACTATTTTTTTGGTGGTTTTTGTCATTCTTGGAGCCTTACAGCCTAAGAACACTTTTCCCACAAGGGAAAAAAAACGCCATATAAGAGTACAGAATGACATGAGGGCATAAAAAAGGAATTTAGGTGAACTATCCCTTTTTAATGTTTCCTGTCTAAATGGTGGCTGCCAAAAAAAGGGTATTGTTAAAAAGTCTTTGCAGGAATAAAAGATAGTCCTTCCCATTACCCCATGCCTGATCAGGTCCACCTGCAGCACCACTGCAGGTAGTACTGGGAAAAAGGGGCATGACATTCACAAAGACATCCACACACTCACAATTGCACAGTGCAGATGTGTGCGTGCGCATACACATACAAACACGTGGCAAGGTCTTCAGGTCTGGTACTGGAGGGCTGCATTGTTCTGCTTGACTGAC